CAAATTGTGATTTTGTTTGTCTTACTTGAAGCCAATCAGCAACTGCTCCAACATTCGGCATTGTAGCACTCATACCCACAATTTGTAGGCCTTGAGCAGGATCAGCCTTGCCACTGCTATTCCCTGAACTCTCACCACTACTAGATTCTGAACTGCCTTCACCGGCAGCATAACGAAGTTTCGTCAGCATAAGTTCCAAAAGATAACCCCTATGTTGGTCCCCCACCTGTATATACCATGAGAAATAGGTTCCTTTTAATCCATTCATCATAAAATATGCGAAGATAGAGTACGGAAAAAACAAAGATAGTGTCAGACAGTTGTAAGCTTATCCAAGATCCATACAGACAAGATTTGTGAAAACCATACCATGTGTAGCTCATCTATAACAATTATCCCAAGTTCAGACAAACGACCCTCTTCAAGCAAGCGATTTATCAAAGAGTTTGCCTTCTCAATCGTGCAAACAGCCACAGCAGTGCCTTTAGGAAGTGTTCCACCACCCTGATTTCCATAGTAACTACGAACATGCTTACCAAGTGGTTCAAGAAGAGCCTCAAGGTGTTCCGCCTGCACCCAATTGTTATACGAATAAACTAACAGAACGTCATATTATAAAACGTGTAGGATGCTTGAAGAGAATAACAAAAGAAACCTTCTCAGCGCAAATGGATACATAAGGTAGCACAAGCAGTGCCATTTTTCCAGTTGTTATGACCCGGCGCAGCATCAAAATTTCTGCAACAAAACTTTTACCAGCACTGCACAAACACCATTGTTTTGAAATTGAACATAATAAGATAGAATTCTGCTTGTATGATCCAAAGAAAATGTAATGAAAAAAAGAAAACTTTGAATTGGCAGATTCATCGCCAACCATGAAGATACCTTGTAGAAGCACAATATACCAGGTTCCTTTTGTGCAAAACACCATCTACCTGAAGGCACTCGACCTAGAAAATTTATCACAATTTGTATTCAGGTAACGAAAATGATGTCAGAAGCAATAGC